GGCCAAGATTCTTTGAAACCACTCGCTAACCAGCTAGTGTCCAGGGCCACACAGGGCACACCAGTGAGAAACATAATGGTGGTTGGAGTAATTCCCGTGTGAGATCTATTGTCTCAGTTTACATAAACGGTAGAGCAGTTCAAGATGTCTTATTCACTGATCTGCCAGTAAACTCGATAGGTTTTCACTGGGAGAGGTTCAAGCCAAAGCTACCTTCTCTGTTGTGTCGGGGTTAGTCCGTTGTTACTCTCTCTCAGAGTTCTTTATTGTTGAACGATGTCCATTCGTATGTCCGTTTGTTGAGTCATTCGGTCAATTTTTATTCATGTGGGGGATTGTTGGAAAAAATGATTTTTGGGGACTTTAATTTAATATTAAAGTGTGGTGACTTTAATTAAATATTAAAGTGGGTCCTAACCATTTTTTGTGTTGGGTCCAAGTGAGCCAAAAATCATTGGGTTTTGAATAAGAAATTGCCAAGAAATTGCTTCATGATGTTAGATTCATGAATAGGATTTTAAAGAGTATTTAAATCTTTTTTCTTGACTAAAGGGTGTGAATCCTTTGGGCATCCATGCTTTTCATTTTGTGAAAATGGGCTATGGATGCTTGGTGTTTTAATGACTAGCCTTAAAGGCTGGAGGCTTTTCCTTTCTCCCCTATACATGTATAAATTGAGACCCTCCTGTCAAGTTTCAATATATAAATTTTTGCTTCCATTTTACAAGTCAGTTTGCTTGATAGTTCTTATTGTGAGAGAGTGCTGCCATTGTTTTGTTTGCTAAGCTAGACAGATAGTGCTTCTGTCATAGCTGGTTTTGACCGTCATATCCTGGGAGACAGATGCCGGGTTTCCTCAAGCACTCGACCCGTGAAGAGGCGAAATCTGTTTTAAGGAAACTGCTTCCGTGTAGGCTTCGATTTTGTCTCTTTACCCTTTATTGTTTTTTGTGTATTTCTGTTGAAATTTAGTTGTAATTATCAGCATATGTTCTTCGTATATAATTTGTTTTCTTCATAAATTTATTTATTTAATTTAAAAAATGTTTGGACAACAGAAGGTTGAATGAAACACTTCGTCGGCGATTTGAAACGACAAGATGACGAGATATGAGATACGACGAGAGTTCAACACCAATTATGAAGATCAACACCAGTGACGATGGAGGCCGAATGAACCTCTATCAATGATGGAGATCAAAATTGACAAAAATGGTCTCTATTATGAAGATTGTGGGTTTTTTTGTTGTGTGTAGTGGTGAAGATAAAGAGTTTTTAGTGTGTGTAATGGTGTGTATTCAAATAGTTAGTGGTGTGTTAATATAGAGTTAGTAATGGAAAGCTAAGATATGAAATAAGATATTTTTAAACCCTAAAAATTATTTTATATGTGTACTGAGAACATTGGTGGGCTACAAATAGAATCACCATAAGAGAAAAGAAAAAAAAAAGTGTTTTATTTAATTTTACCAAAATAATCTTTCATATTAATAAGTTATTTTTCTAGTTTCTTCCACTATAGGGAATTTTTTTTTGCATTTTCGAAAAGTTTCAATAAACCTGTTTATTTTCTCACAAAATTTCACCACTTTTGGTGAGAAACAAAAACAACTTGGGTAAGAGATATATATTTTTTAATCACAATGTCTCATAATTTCTCACCTACTTAACCATCCGAACAAGTGAAAGGGGGCTTTTTATTCTTACTATTTATTTTATTTTCTCACCAAACCTCTTAATCCAAACGGAGTGTAGGGGTTTCATTGGTAAAATCAAAACTCGTGGAAGGTAAGTTCAAATTTTCATTCTCCTTGGGCAATTCTCAATTTAGGGCAATTGATACTGGCCTCTCCTAAGGTTTGATAAAATTGCATAAACCTCCATTAAGGCTTTTGAAATAATTTAAATTGAAGTTCAATTTTCAATTGCATGACCTCTTATGAGGTTTAATAAAATGTGTAAATATACCATAAAGTTTATGAAACAATATAAACCTCCATTGAAGTTTAGTTTTTTGTTATAGATTATTTTTTTCTGCTACTTTGTAAAAAAAAAAAAAAGGAAGAAGAAAAATGCAAACATTATTCAATAATTAAATTTACCCTTTAAACTATGCCAGATTATAAATAATATCTATATAATTCCTATTAGGGTTTTGAATAAATAAGAGATACCTAATCAACAGTATAACTGCAAACATGACAAAGAGAAAAAATATAAAACGCATATATGTATTTTTTGTAATTAGACACAATTTTACAAGTTAAAATTAGAAATGTAATTAAATTATTTACTGATACAAAAAATTTATGTCAATTTTTTTTACGATGTTAGGGAGTTTTTGATGAAGGAAGTATATAGAATTAACAGTAATTGTAGGCATAATAAGGAGAGAAAAAAAGTATATATTTTATATTTATTTGTAATCAGACACAATTTTAAAGGGTAAATAAATTATTTAATAATGTTAGCATATTTTGTTATTTTTTATGATAAAATAACAGTTAAAATATATATATATATAACAAAAAAATAAACCTCAAAGGAGGTTTATGTCGCTTTAGAATTTTTTGTGTTGGGTCCAAGTGAGCCAAAAATCATTGGGTTTTGAATAAGAAATTGCCAAGAAATTGCTTCATGATGTTAGATTCATGAATAGGATTTTAAAGAGTATTTAAATCTTTTTTCTTGACTAAAGGGTGTGAATCCTTTGGGCATCCATGCTTTTCATTTTGTGAAAATGGGCTATGGATGCTTGGTGTTTTAATGACTAGCCTTAAAGGCTGGAGGCTTTTCCTTTCTCCCCTATACATGTATAAATTGAGACCCTCCTGTCAAGTTTCAATATATAAATTTTTGCTTCCATTTTACAAGTCAGTTTGCTTGATAGTTCTTATTGTGAGAGAGTGCTGCCATTGTTTTGTTTGCTAAGCTAGACAGATAGTGCTTCTGTCATAGCTGGTTTTGACCGTCATATCCTGGGAGACAGATGCCGGGTTTCCTCAAGCACTCGACCCGTGAAGAGGCGAAATCTGTTTTAAGGAAACTGCTTCCGTGTAGGCTTCGATTTTGTCTCTTTACCCTTTATTGTTTTTTGTGTATTTCTGTTGAAATTTAGTTGTAATTATCAGCATATGTTCTTCGTATATAATTTGTTTTCTTCATAAATTTATTTATTTAATTTAAAAAATGTTTGGACAACAGAAGGTTGAATGAAACACTTCGTCGGCGATTTGAAACGACAAGATGACGAGATATGAGATACGACGAGAGTTCAACACCAATTATGAAGATCAACACCAGTGACGATGGAGGCCGAATGAACCTCTATCAATGATGGAGATCAAAATTGACAAAAATGGTCTCTATTATGAAGATTGTGGGTTTTTTTGTTGTGTGTAGTGGTGAAGATAAAGAGTTTTTAGTGTGTGTAATGGTGTGTATTCAAATAGTTAGTGGTGTGTTAATATAGAGTTAGTAATGGAAAGCTAAGATATGAAATAAGATATTTTTAAACCCTAAAAATTATTTTATATGTGTACTGAGAACATTGGTGGGCTACAAATAGAATCACCATAAGAGAAAAGAAAAAAAAAGTGTTTTATTTAATTTTACCAAAATAATCTTTCATATTAATAAGTTATTTTTCTAGTTTCTTCCACTATAGGGAATTTTTTTTTGCATTTTCGAAAAGTTTCAATAAACCTGTTTATTTTCTCACAAAATTTCACCACTTTTGGTGAGAAACAAAAACAACTTGGGTAAGAGATATATATTTTTTAATCACAATGTCTCATAATTTCTCACCTACTTAACCATCCGAACAAGTGAAAGGGGGCTTTTTATTCTTACTATTTATTTTATTTTCTCACCAAACCTCTTAATCCAAACGGAGTGTAGGGGTTTCATTGGTAAAATCAAAACTCGTGGAAGGTAAGTTCAAATTTTCATTCTCCTTGGGCAATTCTCAATTTAGGGCAATTGATACTGGCCTCTCCTAAGGTTTGATAAAATTGCATAAACCTCCATTAAGGCTTTTGAAATAATTTAAATTGAAGTTCAATTTTCAATTGCATGACCTCTTATGAGGTTTAATAAAATGTGTAAATATACCATAAAGTTTATGAAACATTATAAACCTCCATTGAAGTTTAGTTTTTTGTTATAGATTATTTTTTTCTGCTACTTTATTGTAAAAAAAAAAAGGAAGAAGAAAAATGCAAACATTATTCAATAATTAAATTTACCCTTTAAACTATGCCAGATTATAAATAATATCTATATAATTCCTATTAGGGTTTTGAATAAATAAGAGATACCTAATCAACAGTATAACTGCAAACATGACAAAGAGAAAAAATATAAAACGCATATATGTATTTTTTGTAATTAGACACAATTTTACAAGTTAAAATTAGAAATGTAATTAAATTATTTACTGATACAAAAAATTTATGTCAATTTTTTTTACGATGTTAGGGAGTTTTTGATGAAGGAAGTATATAGAATTAACAGTAATTGTAGGCATAATAAGGAGAGAAAAAAAGTATATATTTTATATTTATTTGTAATCAGACACAATTTTAAAGGGTAAATAAATTATTTAATAATGTTAGCATATTTTGTTATTTTTTATGATAAAATAACAGTTAAAATATATATATATATAACAAAAAAATAAACCTCAAAGGAGGTTTATGTCGCTTTAGAAATCTTAGGAGAGGTTTATGCAATTTCTATTAGAGAAATGCGTGGGTCAATATAATTAAAAATTAAATCTCAAGAGAGTTTTCTGTCATTTCAAAAACTTTATGAGATTTATACATTTCATTAAACATTAGGGCACGCCACTGCAATTAAAAACTGAACCTCAATTAAAAACTGAACCTCAAGAAAGGTTCAAGTTATTTCAAAAATTTTAGGAGAGTTTCTGTAATTTCATTAAACCTGAAGGAGGTAAGTGTAATTTACCCTTGAATTTATGGTGTTCCGAGAGGCAGTGTTTGCAAGGCTTTCCCACATTCGTGACCCTAATAAGAGCCGTCGGATCAAGGGAGGATGCTGTAAAGATAAAGAATCAATCAATCATCTACAGGCGTCGTGCTCTGGTGGTTTTCGTTTCCATGATTGTCTGCTGTCCGTTGCTTTCTTAGAGAACAGAATTGTAGAGACGGACGGATGGAGCTGCAAATCAAGGTGGCTCAGGCGGTTCGTGTCCTGAATCACGACTCTCAATCGTGCAACCGCGTTGCTGCCAATCAATGGCTGGTTCAGTTTCAGCAGACTGACGCCGCTTGGGAGGTAGCCACCTCCATCCTTACCTCCGATCACCATCACCATCACCATCACCATCACCATCAACCTTTCCTAAACGATTTTGAAGTCGAGTTCTTCGCCGCTCAGATTCTTAAACGAAAGGTCCGTCTCTCCCTCTCCTTCTTCCTCCTTGCATCTCTTCTTTTCCTCCCTCTCCTCTCTCCCTAGGTACGTAGGTAGGTAGGTGGGTGGGTGTACATATTCCACAATTTTACTCCGCTCTTTGTTGCTTGGCAATTAAGCTGCGGCCTATTTTGGACAATGTGTGTGTAATTAGACACATGTGAAAGAAGAAACCAAAACAAGCTCTGTGCTGTGGTGTGTTGTGGTTATGATACATGTGTGGAAGCTTTGTTCATTTCATTTGCTATCGTGCTTACCTGGATGGTCCCACACCTAGTTCACTAGAGCTTGCTTGATTGATACCTGCAGCAGCCTCACTCCCATAAAATTTACGCACAAACTGGCGCTATTGATTATTTGGGGAAAAAGTCCTTGGAATCAGTTATTTATATCTCATGCTCCACTTTCAGCCTTCTTCTTGACTGATTTTCCTTAAATTTGGTTGATTGATATTTAGCTTAATCTCTCGTTGTTATTCCAAAAGTTATTGTATAGGTCTCCCAAATTTAATTTAGTTCAATCTCTCATTGTTATTTTAAAAGTTATTGTCTAGGTCTCTCAATTTTTTCCACAACTCTGCAAGCTTTAACGCAGGGATTCTACTGGGGAAATTGGTTTGTAGTATGACATTAGAGTGAGGGCCATATGATAGGCCATTTAAGTGAACCCACCAAAACATCCCTAATTCAGCAGAAAGATCACTATATAAATGAATCTGCCAAAACATTCTCTGATCTCTCCTATGGACCCAAACACCAAATTGATGGCAGATCAGGGTGAGTTGTTATCTAGTCCAGGGCTCAATCGATTGTTGGTTGGCAAGCTGAATTATTTAAATGTTACAGGACTAAACATTTCTTTGCAGTAGGTGTGGTCCATTAGTTTTTGGATGCTGCTTGAACATGTCATTGGGATGCTATTGTGTGTATTTTGAGATATCTCAAAAGTGCACCTGGCTGTGGTTTACTATACCAGAATCATGGTCACACTTAGATTGAGGGTTATACTGGTGTAGATGGGTTGGATCTGCATTAGATAGAAGATCAACTTTTGCCAATTGTGTATTTGTTGGAGTTAACTTGGTGTCATGAAAAATTAAGAAACAAACAGTGGTTGATCGAGTGTTGAGTCTAAATATAGAGTTATGGCATATACTACTTGTGAGTTGATCTGGTTGAAACATATGTTCGAAGAATTTGGGTCTAAGCATCATCATTCTACGAATATGTTATGTGATAACAAGGCAGTAGTTCACATTGTATCCAATCAAGTGCTTCATGAAAGAATGAAACCAATTGTGGTTGATTGTCATTTTATTAGAGAGAAGTTGTCATAGAATGTGGGTTGGTAGATTTATTCATCAAACCTTTGTTGGCTCCCGGGGGAGGTATATTTGTAACAAGCAAGGTACATATGATATATACGAATCCGTTTGAGGGGCAGTGTTGAGGGTATTAATGTCAATGTAATGTCATACTTGTTTAATATAAATAGTTTGCTAAGCCTAATTTTAAGTCCTCTCATTCACCTAATCTGTCTCTTCTTAATATTGATAGTAACATTGCATTGTGGAGGGAGTTAATGATTGGGAGATGGAGGAGTTGATGAATCTCCTTGGGTAGGGGATGATGCCAAGAGTGAGCCAAGGGGGGCAGCGCCCCTTAGGTTTTTTCAAAATTCTTCGATTACTCCTTTAATTTATGAGTATTTCTACCCATTAGTATTAGGGATGGCAATGGGGGTTAATGGGGTGGATATTAATTCCCCATCCCCATTCCCCTATAATAAATTTTCCTCATTCCCCATGGGTACCACTCTCCCCATTTCTTAATGGGTTTGGATTTTCCCCAACCCACTTTAATCCCCATTTTTATTTTATTTTTATTTTTTATATTTAATGTTAACAACCACTTTTTTTTTTTTTTTTTGAAGGTTCACAACAAAAGCTAAATATACCTTCAATCTTTTTTCTTTCTTTTTTTAATATATTTAATGTTAACAACTTCTTCTTTTTTTTTTTTTAAGGTTCACAACAAAAGTTAAATATACCTTCAATCTTTTTTCTTTCTTTTTTAATATATTTAATGTTAACAACTTTTTTTTTTCTTTTTTTTTTCTTTTTTTAAGGTTTTAGCTAAATATACCTTCAATCTTTTTTCTTTCTTTTTTAATATATTTAATTTTAACAACTTATTTTTTTATTTTTTTTTTTAATTTTGTTTTAAGGTTGACAACAAAAGCTAAATAATTTATTAATGTGTTTATTTTTTTTAAAATTCAAATATCAAAAAAGGTTAAAATACGCATGATGCCTACTAATGTAGTCTCTCTCTCTCTCTCCTATTCTTCCACCTCTGCCGGCCTCGTTCCACTCATGTTCTCTCTTTCTAATTTTTTATTTTTTATTTAAAAACTAAATTATTGATAAAAGAAAAAAAAATTGACTGAAACAATTTTAAAACCTCACTTTTTTCTTTCTTTCTTTTTTTTTTTTTTGGAGAATATCAAAAAAATCAAAAGTAAAAAATAATTACAAAATGATGAAGATAAAAGTGATTTATGCATTTAATTATGGCAGTGTTTGGAAATGAAATTTATAGATCACTTTAGCCTCTTGAAGAAAAAAATTCAAAAAGTATTGTTGCTGACTTCCCACATGATACACAGCTGTAACGGACAAAGGGTAAAATGACGCTTTTGCCTTTTTAATTTTTGAGAAACTCACAACAACAACGATAATACACATAGGGACATTTTGGTCATTTGTTATCTCTACATTATTTCAAACACATTTTTCAATACATCAATCTAACAAAAAATCCAACCCACCTTCTTAAATGCAAAAACTAAAATAGTTTACTAAAATAGTCAAATAGGTAAAACCTCTAAAAAGAAAAAAGATTGAATGTATATTTAGCTTTTGTTGTGAATCTTAAAAATTTTAAAAAAAAAAACAAAAGAAAAAAGATTGAATGATATTTAGCTTTTGTTGTGAATCTTAAAAATTAAAAAAAAAAAAACAAAAGAAAAAAGATTGAATGATATTTAGCTTTTGTTGTGAACCTTAAAAATTTAAAAAAAAAACCAAAAGAAAAAATATTGAATATATATTTAGCTTTGGTTGTGAATCTTAAAAATTAAAAAAAAATGGTTGTGAACCTTAAAAATTAAAAAATAATAATAATAAAAAACGATTGGATGTATATTTAGCTTTGGTTGTGGATCTAAAAAAAAAAAAAATTGGTTGTGAACCTGAAAAAATAAATAAATATAAAAAAGAAAAAAGATCGAATGTATATTTAGTTTTGGTTGTGAACTCTGTTGTCAGAATCTTACGATTCGCGATTCGATTCGCGATTCGATACGCAATTTTTGCAAAATCGATACGAATCTATGAGTGAATCTATTTTGGAAGTGAATCTCTAGTGAATCGCACGATTCAAAAATAATTACAAAATGATGAAGATAAAAGTGATTTATGCATTTAATTATGGCAATGTTTGGAAATGAAATTTATAGATCACTTTAGCCTCTTCAAGAAAAAAATTCAAAAAGTGTTGTTGCTGACTTCCCACATGATACACAGCTGTAACGGACAAAGGGTAAAATGACGCTTTTGCCTTTTTAATTTTTGAGAAACTCACAACAACAACGATAATACACATAGGGACATTTTGGTCATTTATTATCTCTACATTATTTCAAACACATTTTTCAATACATCAATCTAACAAAAAATCCAACCCATCTTCTTAAATGCAAAAATTAAAATAGTTTACTAAAATAGTCAAATAGGCAAAACCTCTAAAAAGAAAACAGATTGAATGTATATTTAGGTTTTGTTGTGAATCTTAAAAATTAAAAAAAAAAACAAAAGAAAAAAGATTGAATGATATTTAACTTTTGTTGTGAACCTTAAAAATTAAAAAAAAAAAACCAAAAGAAAAAATATTGAATGTATATTTAGCTTTGGTTGTGAATCTTAAAAATTAAAAAAAAAAACAAAAGAAAAAAGATTGAATGATATTTAGCTTTTGTTGTGAACCTTAATTAAAAAAAAAAACCAAAAGAAAAAATATTGAATGTATATTTAGCTTTGGTTGTGAATCTTAAAAATTAAAAAAAAAAATGGTTGTGGGTATATTTAGCTTTGGTTTTGGATCTTAAAAAAAAAAAAAAAAAAAAATTGGTTGTGAACCTGAAAAAATAAATAAATAAAAAAAAGAAAAAAGATTGAATGTATATTTAGTTTTAGTTGTGAATCTAAAAAAAAAAAAAAAAAAACATATGGGGAAATTAGTGGGTACACATCCCCAACCCATCCCCTGTGGATATTTAAAGAATATCACTTACCCTACCTAATGGATAAGAAAAAAAAGGAGAAAACCCATGTTTTTGGGTTGGGTCTTCATGGATACTCACAGGGTAGGTTATCCATTGCCATCCCTAATGAGCATTCATACAATATCAACAAATAAAATGTTTTAAAATGATATTTTAATAAATTACGTACTTAGATCCTAATCATATAGCTAGAAAATTATATGAAATAACTGAGATAAGTATTAAGAAATCACTAACATTAAGGCCTAGTTTGGGAAGACTAAATAAATGCACTTTTTGACTTTTTATGAAATATGGGTTGGGTTTGGGTTGGGTTTGAAGTGATGTGTTACAGAGGTGATGTGACTTAAATAAGATGATGTGACTTAAATAGGATAGAAACTTTTTGACTTTTTGACTTTTTTCAATCTTCCCAAACTAGGCCTAATTTTTTTCGCTACCCCCCCCCCCAAAACAAAATTTATGGATTTGTTGTTGTCCTTGGGTGTCTGTATTCCACTCAGACTGGGGATGGAGGAGATTTTCTTTGATGGATGAGGGCCTCCTTTGGACAGTTTAGCTTGAAGTCATACTATTCTACCCTTTCAGGCCATTGGGAGTCTTTATTCCCTTGGAAGTGGGTTTGGGGTGCTAATGACCCATCTAAAGTCACTTTCTTTGTTAGGTGTGTAGTAAGATCTTTATGGTTGATAATTTGATTCGGAGCAAGTGCATGTTATTTGGCTTTGCATGTGTAAGTATGATGAAGAAACAATAAGTCATCTTCTTATTCACTGTGAGGTGGTGCATGACTTGTGGTCCTTAATTTTACATTTTGTTCAAAGTGGAATGGGTGCTTTCTCAGAAGGTGGAGGAACTTCTTTATTCTTGTGGTGGGGCTAGGGTGGGGAGGAGGAGAAAACTTGGAGTTTGGTTCCTTTGGTGATTATGTGGTTGGTTTGGATTGAACCAAATAGAAGAACCTTCGATGGAAAGGAGGAACCTTTTTCTATAGTTGGTTTTCGGGGACAGTCAATCCTTCCTTGAATCAATTTTTGGATTCTGTAGACATTTTGGAATAGTTTTTTTTGATGGATAGATCATATACAGTTTTCTTTTGTATATGGGTTGCACTTCCTTGGTGCCTCTTTAATGATATTTCTTTATACTTATAATTTTAGCCGATGAATTCAACACCCTTCATTCAAAATAGTCTATAGAATTAATACAGAAGTTGTTGACAAGCTTTCATACAGTTTTCTCTTTTTGGATGCATCTGGACACACACATGACAAAGTATTTAGAATTATTATTTTATGCTCTGACCAAATAGTTTCATCTTGCCCCATTTTGGCATCCTGTTGCAGACAGATGTACACACATGTTTATTCAGGTGTACATTAATAAATTTGCAATTTTTTTCTGCCATTTTACAGATCCAAAATGAAGGATATTATTTGCAGTTGGGAGCTAAAGATGCTTTGCTAAATGCTCTTCTTGTAGCTGCTAAAAGATTTAGTTCAGGACCCTCACAGGTGCTTTCTCTTCTTTATCCTGATTGGATCTGCAGGTGCTCTGATGCTTGAAACAGATGCAATTTTTGGGATATTCTGTCAAAAAGCTCTATTGAATGTTAGATTTTGCTGATGCTTCTTGTTTTTATTTTATTTGTTTGTTTTGTTTTATTTTGGTGTTGTATCTATCATTTGAATGAAGTGTTATTTATGTATTTGTTTTGGGTTACTTAAAGAAGTGTTTGACTGAAAGTTGGTTTATCTTTGTGACAGCTTTTAACACAAATCTGTCTTGCACTCTCTGCTCTTATACTTCATGCTGTCGAGCATAGTAAACCTATTGAGCAACTTTTTTACAGTCTTGAGAATCTGCAAAGCCAGGATGATGGCAATATTGCTGTTTTGGAGATGCTCACTGTCCTGCCTGAAGTTGTCGAGGATCAAAGTACTGATTCTATTATAAGTCCAGCTCGCCGAGGCGAGTACGGCCGAGAGGTTTAGGGCATTTTGATTATTTGAAACATTTATATACCTTCTCATCCTTATCTTCTTCTTCTTCTTCTTCTTCTTCTTCTTCTTCTTCTTCTTCTTCTATATACATTTAAAGAAATTGCAAATTTGGCCTTCATTAACTGTTAATGTATCATATGTTAAAAGCAGCTTCTTTTGCGCACGCCTATGGTTCTTGAGTTTCTGCTGCAGCAATCTGAGAAAAGGCTTGATGCTGGCATTCAACTGCATGAGAGGAACAAAAAGATATTGCGTTGTTTATTGAGTTGGGTAAGAAAATTGTTAAGAATGTGCAATTGCCCTTTCCTGATGAATAACTTGCAAAGATTTATTTTAATACTGGGAACTGTGGACCTTTTTTTTTTGGGTGTTATTTTTTGTGAGTTTCTACTGCAGCAATCTGAGAAAAGGCTTGACGCTGGCATTCAACTGCATGAGAGGAACAAAAAGATATTGCGTTGTTTATTGAGTTGGGTAAGAAAATTGTTAAGAATGTGCAATTGCCCTTTCCTGATGAATAACTTGCAAAGATTTATTTTAATACTGGGAACTGTGAACCTTTTTTTTTTGGGTGTTATTTTTTGAATTTTATATTTTGGTCATGCTCCAATAGTTTTGATTTGAAGTATCCAGGCACCGTTTAACAAAACCCCCCCACCTATACTTGGCATGATAAATGCTGTAGTTTTGACATATGTTAGGTCTCCATGTCTCATGCTCATTTAATCGTGCCATCCTACATTCAGGTTCGAGCTGGGTGCTTCTCAGAGATTCCCCCCAGCTCATTGCCAACACATCCACTTCTTAATTTTGTGTTCAACTCTTTGCAGGTAATCTTTCTAACTATTATCATTGGTTGATTGAAGTATCTTGATTGATTCGCTCATGCAATTTAGTTCTTTGTGATGAATTAGGTTTCATTGTCATTTGATCTAGCCATTGAAGTTCTTGTTGAGCTTGTGAGTCGACATGAGGTATGAATATGTCATATAATAGCTACAATATACATACTTGTTGGCCTGATTTGTTGCAATCTAAGAGCTATCATATCTGGTTTCGTTTCAGTTAGTCTGGTTTCATTTAGAAGAATACAAGGCTACTACAGACTAAAGTAGAGGGGGTTCTGTTCTAGATTGGAGTGATTGAACTCACAATAAACAACCATAGTTAGTACGTATGCATAAGTGGTGTTACCGTTATTTTTAGAGAATACCAAGATTAGGGAATGATTAGGCTATCATCCCCTATTTATATTAATGAAGTTAATAATTACAAGGAAGCCCCAAGGCATAAAATAATTACAAAATAATAACCCAAAAACATAATATTTTATTCTAACAGTTACATTATTTTTTCTAAGAGCTATCATATCTGATTTCGTTTCAGTTAGTCTGGTTTCATTTAGAAGAATACAAGGCTACTACAGACTAAAGTAGAGGGGGTTCTATTCTAGATTGGAGTGATTGAACTCTCAATAAACAACCATAGTTAGTACGTATGCATAAGTGGTGTTACCGTTATTTTTAGAGAATACCAAGATTAGGGAATGATTAGGCTATCATCCCCTATTTATATTAATGAAGTTAATAATTACAAGGAAGCCCCAAGGCATAAAATAATTACGAAATAATAACCCAAAAACATAATATATTATTCTAACACTCCCCCGCAAGTTGATACGAAGATATCTCTCATGCCTAGCTTGTCTAAGATGTCATGAAATGGCTTACTCCCAACTCCCTTGGTGAGGATGTCAGCAAGTTGCTCACCAGACTGTATAAAGGAAGTACATATTGTGCCACTGGTGAGTTTCTTCTTAATGAAGTGGTGATCAATCTCAACATGATTTGTCCTGTCATGTTGAGCCGGATTGTGAGCAATGTTGATAGCGGCCTTATTATCACAGTATAACCGCATGGAGTCCGTTTGATCAATACCTAGATCACTCAACAATAACTTGATCTATAAGAGCTCACACACCCCTTATGCCATGGCTCTAAACTCAACTTCTGCACTTGACCTAACAACAACATTCTGTTTCTTACTCCTCCAAGTAACTAGGTTGCCTCCAACAAAGGTGCAATACCTTGAAGTCGATCTCCTAACAGTCACTGATCCAGCCCAGTCAGCATCTGTATAGGCTTCCATACAAAGATGATCATACTTTAAATAATAAAGACCCTTACCAGAAGCAGACTTTAAGTACCTCAAAATTCTCATGACAACTTCGAAGTGAATCTGATGACGAGTATGCATAAACTGGCTAACCACACTGACAGTAACAGCAAGATCAGGATGGGATTGAGATAGGTAAATGAGCTTACCCACTAATCGCTGATAGCTCTCCCTATCAACAGCTGCTTCTCCTTCATCATTCCAAAATTTCTGATTAGGTTTCAGTGGAGTGTCACAGGACTTACAGCCAAGCATCATAGTTTCCTTCAACAGATTAAGCACATACTTCCTCTGTGAGATAAATATCCCATCCTTGGAGCGAGCAACTTTAATTCCCCAAGTCTTTGATTTCAAACTCACTGGCTAAATATTTCTTCAACAGAGGAATTTCCTCACTATCATCGCCCGTAAGAACTATGTCATCTACATAACAATGAGTGCTATAGTCTTACCAAGTGAGGAATGTTTCACAAACAATGTGTGATCTACCTGACTCTGTTTGAAGCCATATTTAAGTATAACTTGAGTGAATCTCTCAAATCAAGCCCTTGGAGACTGTTTGAGACCATATAATGACTTCCGAAGCCCACACACTTTGCCTTCTGTCTGATGATCCTCAAAACCAGGAGGAATGTCCATATATACCTCTTCTTCGAGGTCATCATGGAGAAAGGCATTCTTTACATCAAATTGATGAAGTGGCCAATCTAGTTTAGCTGCTAGAGAGAGAAGAACTCTGATTGACTTTATCTTAGCTACGGGTGCAAAGATCTCCTGATAGTCAACACCATATGTCTAAGTGAACCCTTTTGTCACAAGTCTAGCCTTGTAACGCTCAATAGAACCATCCGCTTTGTGTTTCACAGTATACATCCATTTGCATCCCACAGATCGTTTGCCCTTAGGTAACTCAGTCAATTCTCAAGTGTCATTCTTTCTAAGTGCTTTCATTTCCCAATTGTGGAAAGTTTTCACTCAGAGGTAGCAAGCGCATCCTGAAAATGGTTAGGAATGCTAAAAGAGGAAATATTTGACACAAACGCTCTATATGAGGACGACAAATGAGAGGACACAAAATTGGAGATAGGATGTTGAGTACAAAATCTTACACCCTTTTTCTTAGCAATAGGAACGTTAAGATCAATGGACTCAAGAGATTCAAAATTACCTGGATTCTCATCAGAAGCAGGAGATGACAGTGAAGGAGCCGAAGTAGTCTTTTGTATCCAGTTAACTTTCTGTCTATCTTTGTCCCTGACATACACTTGCCCTTCCCTATCCTTGGTGATATTGGGTTTTGTAGTCCTCGGTAGGAGGTGGTGGTGCCAGAACAGCGGGTTCCACAATAAGAATCACAAGAATCACTTCATACTAAGGCTCTCCCTGAAGGAAGGACTGTGACACCGGAGAGGACAACTGGGACTTAAAGAAAGTGACATTCATGGACACAAACCACTTACGAGAAGGAGGGTGGTAACACTTATGCCTTTTTTGAGTAGGATAGTAACCAAGGAAAACACATTTGAAGGAGTGAGGGTCCAACTTACCATAAGTAAGAGAGTGATCATGGACAAAATAAACACATCCAAATATTTTGGGAGGAATAGAAATTAAGGACTGGGAACTTAGGAGAACTTGAAGAGGAGCTTGTTTTTGCAAGATCTGGGTAGGAAGACCATTAATAAGATGGGCAGCGGTGAGAACAGTGTCGCCCCAGTAAGACCGAAGCACACCCATAGAAAAACACATGCACCAAGCCATGTCAAGAAGATGGCGATTCTTGCGTTCCGCCACCCATTTTGTTAAGGGGTATTGGTGCAAGAGATCTGATGGATAATGCCATGAGTAGAAAAACATTGCCATAACCCAAAATCTATGTATTCACCCCATTATCAGAACGGAATATTTTGACAGTGGCTCCAAACTGAGTACAAATCATCTTATGAAAATTGCAAAACACAGAGAAAATCTTACTCTTGTCTTTCATGAGATACACCCAAGTAGTACAAGAAAAATCATCAATAAATGTAACAAATCGCGATGACCTTTCACAGACACAACACGAGATGGACCCCAGACATCAAAATGTATTAATGAGAAAGGAACTAAGCTTTTATTAAAACTGGAACAAAAGAAGCTTTGTGTTGTTTTTCAAGCTGACAAAACTCACAAAGAAAAATTTAGACACATTATTGTTTGAAAAAACAGATGGAAAGAAATGCTTAAGTAAATAAAAAGAAGAATGCCCAAGACTGGTGGAAGAATGAACAAGCTTGTCCAGTTGATCCAGGAAGTAGAGACCGTGACACCGGAGAGGACAACTGGGACTTAAAGAATGTGACATTCATGGACACAAACCACTTATGAGAAGGAGGGTGGTAACACTTATGCCTTTTTTGAGTAGGATAGTAACCAAGGAAAACACATTTGAAGGAGTGAGGGTCCAACTTACCACAAGTAAGAGAGTGATCATGGACAAAACAGACACATCCAAATATTTTGGGAGGAATAGAAATTAAGGACTGGGAACTTAAGAGAACTTGAAGAGGAGCTTGTTTTTGCAAGATCTAGGTAAGAAGACGATTAATAAGACGGGCAGCGGTGAGAACAATGTCGCCCCAGTAGGACCGAAGCACACCCATAGAAAAACACATGCACCGAGCCATGTCAAGAAGATGGCGATTCTTGCGTTCCGCCACCCCATTTTGTTGAGGGGTATTGGTGCAAGAGGTCTGATGGATAATGTCATGAGTAGAAAAACATTGCTATAACCCAAAATCTATGTATTCACTCCATTATCAGAACGGAATATTTTGACAGTGGCTCCAAACTGAGTACAAATCATCTTATGAAAATTGCAAAACACAGAGAAAATTTCACTCTTGTCTTTCATGAGATACACCCAAGTAGTACAAGAAAAATCATCAATAAATGTAACAAATCGCGATGACCTTTCACAGACACAACACAAGATGGACCCCAGACATCAGAATGTATTAATGAGAAAGGAACTAAGCTTTTATTAAAATTGGAACAAAAGAAGCTCTGTGTTGTTTTTCAAGCTGACAAAACTCACAAAGAAAAATTTAGACACATTATTGTTTGAAAAAACAGATGGAAAGAAATGCTTAAGTAAATAAAAAGAAGAATGCCCAAGACTGGTGGAAGAATGAACAAGCTTGTCCAGTTGATCCAGGAAGTAGAGACCGTTTTCTGCACTACCACTGCCAACCGTCCTCTTCATGACAAGGTCCTGAAAAAGACAATGATCAGGAAAAAATGTCATACTACAATTCAAATCCTTTGTAATACGATTCAAGGATAACAGGTTAACAAAAAAATTGGGAACATAAAGAACAGAAGAGGGGTAAAGTAGGAGTGACATGGACTAAACCTTTCCCAGAAATAGAAGAAACAGTACCATTTACAATCCTAACTTTGTCCTGACCTGAAGAGGGCTTATAGGCAGAGAAAAGGTCAAAGGAGCCAGACATGATCTGAGGCACCAGAATCAATAATTCAGGGCAAAGACTTATAAGACAGGAAAACACAAGGAGAAGAGGCTAAGTTACCTGAGCGGGCAAACGACGAGGAAGATGTACTAAAAGCAGTAAAAGACTAGCGGTCTAGCAAGTGACGCAGAATATCCTCAAGCTCATAAGTAATCATGTCAGAGAGACCATCAGAAGCCTGGCCAACGGAAGCAGAAGGATAATCAAGTGTATCAACAGCACTAGACTGATGAGCCCGTGGGTAGGAGCCACGTCCTCTAGAACTGGCTTGACCGATCTCCTCTAGA